GAGATGCGAAAAATCAAAGATGTTGAAGTAAACGAGAGCGTGCATCCGAGCAATATTAGGCGCAGCACACCATGTGACCATGCCGCTTGCGAAACTTCGCAGACTTTGCATATCCCTAATTCTGTTATATTAAATGATAAAATTTTGCTTATTATTATACAAATCAGTCTTTGAATATTTATACTGTTTATTATTTTTAGAATAAACATTAAACGTTTGGTGGAGACAAGGTTATTGGTGATACGGTACGATAATTATTATATATAAATATATATATATATATATATATATATATATATATATATTTTTTTTTTTATTGGGGCAGTTTATATTTATAAATATTTTTGTTTAAAAATTTCTTTTTTAAAATTACAACTATTTATGTGAAAAAATAAAATTGATACTTACAATTAAAGGCTTCTATAAGTTTTGAAGAGGGGTGAGCTCCAAAAATATGACAAAAAATCAGAAATAATGTTAAATTATAAAAGGTTTGTATAAACTTGAATGGGGTGATCAGTCTGGCTAGCCTCCACCACTAACTCCTACCACAACCATTGATACCATCTACATTTTAGGATTTTCCCCTTTTATTTATGGGAAAAACATCTGTTCCTTTAAAGGATATAAGTTTATATCTTTTTAGATCCTAACCATTGATTTTCGTCCATCAACGATTATAATTTATTGAGTCAAACTTAATGAGCCAAATTTATTATTAATTAATTAATAATTTTAATCTAATAAATTATAACTGTTAATGGACGAAAATCAACGGTTAGAATCTAAAAGAATATAAATTTATATCCTTTAAAAGAATAGATGTTACTCCCTTTATTTATATCATTTTCTAACACTGTCTGATTCACCTTAGGCACATTATTAAATAAAAATGCTTTATGTTATTTTTTTAATATAATAGTAACATCGATATTCGAATTTAAGACTTCAAGTAAATTATTCAAATCTCTAACCACTATATCAATTCTAAATTTCTAATAACTTAGTTCATGTTATTTCTCACTATTATATAATTTTTTTATTCTATCCATTCTTATCGTGTCTTACCTGCCAACGAGCCCTAAATTTAATTGATTAATTCTCTCAATTTAATGTTTGTAAAAGATATATAACGTTCTAAAATTTAAAATTAGTTACTCTTTTTTTTAGCTATTACATATAGTGCATAGTATATTTTTAAAAATACATGTAAAAGCCAATTATCATATCACATGTTTATAAATATTTGATTATTTGTATAATTATTATCGGTAGAGAAATGTTATAGTTACTACTTATTTTTTTTACTACTTGTTACTACCAAATTTTAATCGTTGATTTTCGTCAATCTAACGGTTATAATTATGGGATCATACTTATTAATTAATTATTAATTTGTAATAAATTATAACCGTTAGATTAACGGAAATCAACGGATAAGATTTAGTAATAACAAGTAGTAAGAAAAATATATAGTAACTATAACCTCTCTCTTATCGGTAACATGTTGTTTAACTTAAGTTTCTGTCAATCAAGGTGGTTAAAAATTAAAATCGAGATTTTAAATAAAATCGAAAAAAAGTTAAAAAATTATAAAATAATATAAAAAATCGTAAAAAATTATAAAAACAAAATCATAATGATAAATCTAAATGTTAACAACTATTCTCTCAGTGGGATGCAAAACGTGATGATGTATTATTTTTGTAACAGTTCTGTTGGTTGTAAATGTAATCATGGGTTGGGTTACATAAACGGTTTTTACTATTTTGCGGCGCGAAGAGGTTGATTGGATTGGACATGAGAATTTGTTCTAAATAGTGATTATGTAGTCATTTATTAGTAATTATGTAGTTATTTATTAGTAATTATGTAGTCATTTATTTGTATTTATTTAGTCCGTTACTTGTATATTGGGCCAAGCCCATTAGGTCAAAATTAGGTCAAGAAGTCTCTATAAATAGAGACCCCTATGTACAGATTCAAATACAAATCAATAATATTTCATAACCCTTTTTCAAGTTGGTATCAGAGCTCTCGATCCTGAAGGCTCTGCTTCTGCGCCTATTGTCTTTTTTTTTTTTTTTACAAAACCCTGATTTCTTTGCCTCTTGCCGCCACCGGAAAATTTTTTCCGGAGACCTTTTGGACCAAGAGGACCACTGTTGACCTTCTTTTTTTTTTGTTCTATCATTCTACGCAACGTTCCTCCGCCACAAACGACCCAAACACCTCCGACCGCCTTCAACCAGTTCTGTCTTCACCGTTTAGAACCCTTTCCGGTGACTTTTCAACCGCAACCACCCACAGACAGGTGCGCGCTCACCGGACGACCACACCGGAAAAATTTCAGCCGGAGAAGCCTTGCCACATGCTCTCACGCGCCGCCTCTTTGTCCGAGAGTGAAGCCCACGCGCAGCTGCTTTCTCCGGCGCGTGGAGGTGCGTCCGGCGATGTTTCTGGACCGGACCACCACCATTCTTCTCGTCTCCTTGTTCTCTTTCTGGATCTGTGTTGTTTTCTCAGATCAGACATCGTTTGGTATTTTTTTCCGAATTTTTTGGCTTCTTAGAGCCTTTTTCGTTGACTGTTTTTTGTGCAGTATGACCTCTTCTCAAAGGAGTTCCTTTACAAAGTTTTATGATAGTGCATCTTCTAAACCTAAGAGAGATGATCGATGATGTCTTTATTGTAAAAGAACAGGTCATATCAAGGATTTATGCTTTCGCCTCCATGGAAAGCAAACTGTCTTAGAAAAGATGGCAATGATGCGTGGTCAAGCGCATTTTAATTCCTTTGGAATAACTCTTGCACCTAATGAGACCCAACCTGCATTTCGTCTAGATGAGTTAAAACGGCTCCGAACCATCCTTGATTATCTGAGTAAGCCATCTGATACTAATGCTTTGGCTTTGACTGGTATGAGCCCCAAAACTCATTCTTTCCTTTCTTCATGTAATGATTTTAAACATTCCTGGGTTGTTGATTCTGGTGCTACTGATCATATGGCTTGTTGTGCTGACTCCTTTGCTTCTTATCATCCTACCATTGGAACTCATACTATAGCCATAGCTGATGGCTCACATACATCAGTTGCGGGTTCTGGTGACATAAACTTACAGCAGTCCTTACATCTTAAAGATGCTCTTCATGTTCCTAAACTCTCCACGAATCTTCTTTCTATTCATAAAATTACAAAAGATCGGAATTGTACTGTAACCTTCTTCCCCACCCATTGTGTTTTTCAGGATCTGGCCACGGGGAAGACGATTGGTAGTGCTAAAGAGCAAGGTGGGCTGTACTATCTGGTGTCACAATCTCCCGCAAATAAAGTAACAGATCACATCTTGATGTCTCATGGTCAATCAACTGCTGATTCTTTGATTTGGCTTCATCATAAGCGCTTGAGACATCCTCCATTTGGTTTACTCAAGTCTTTATTTTCGTCCTTGTTTTTATCTAAGCCTGTTGAGTCTTTTCATTGTGATGTTTGTGAGTTTGCTAAGCATCATCGTGTGTCTTTTCCTTCTAGTAGTACTAAGAGTGTTGAACCTTTTGATCTTATTCATTCTGATGTTTGAGGTCCTTCTAAAGTCCCTCATGCTTCTGGAAATAGATTGTTTGTTTCTTTTATTGATGATTGCACTCGTGTAACTTGGGTTTACTTAATGCATGAAAAGTCCGAGGTACCACATCTGTTCTTTCAATTTTATAAAATGTTTGAGACCCAATTTGGTAGAAAAATCAAGAGACTAAGAACAGATAATGGTACTGAATATGTTAATCACAGTTTTTCCCAATTTATACGAAATCAAGGTATGATTCATGAACTTACTTGTGTAGACACCCCTCAACAAAATGGGGTTACTGAAAGAAAAAATCGTCACCTTCTTGAAGTTGCTCGTGCCTTACTGTTTCAAACACATGTACCCAAATGCTATTGGGGAGATGCCATTCTTACTGCAGCGTTCTTGATCAATCGTCTACCTACTCGGGTTCTCGAACATGTAAGTCGTATTCACTCCATGACTTCTTCTTTTTCTTCTGTTCCAACTTTGCAAAGTCTTCCTCCTCGAGTGTTTGAGTGTGTTGTCTTTGTTCATATTCATAAACAACATCGCAGTAAGTTGGATCCTAGGGCTCTTAAATGTGTCTTCCTTGGATATGCTCCTGATAAGAAGGGCTACAAGTGTTATCACCCTGGTAGTCGGAAATTTTTTGTTTCTATGGATGTTACATTTCAGGAATCTGAGTCCTTTTTCCAAGGTCCTCATCTTCAGGGTGAGAATAATTCACTAAAAGACTCATCACCTTCCTTCTTCGAATTTGAATCTGTACATATGGGTCTCTATTTATAGAGACTTCTTGACCTAATTTTGACCTAATGGACTTGGCCCAATATACAAGTAACGGACTAAATAAATACAAATAAATGACTACGTAATTACTAATAAATGACTACATAATTACTATTTACAACACTCCCCCTCAAGCTGAGAAATAGATATTTATCATTCCCAGCTTGCTAGCAAGTTCTTGAAATCTATCTGAAGGAAGCCCCTTTGTCAATAGATCAGCTAATTGACAAAGGGGCTTCCTTCAGATAGATTTCAAGAACTTGCTAGCAAGCTGAGAATAATAAATATCTACTCCTCAGTTTAAGGGGGAGTGTTGTAAATAGTAATGATGTAATCATTTATTAGTAATTACGTAGTCATTTATTTGTATTTATTTAGTCCGTTACTTGTATATTGGGCCAAGCCCATTAGTTCAAAATTAGGTCAAAAAGTCTCTATAATTAGAGACCCCTGTGTACAGATCCAAATACAAACCAATAATATTTCATAACTCTTTTCCAAGTGAATTGCTGAAGCGTACGGACATCCATCCACAGGTGCGGTCGTGTCCGCAGTGGAACGAAACCCAAGCCCAAGACACTGTAGTTTTCTTCTAGAAGGAGCCCTAGTTAAGATTGGTTCTCCACACTCACACACGCCCATTCCGTTCCGTTCCATCCATTTCTCTAGCTGCGAAAAACTGTTACTAGCTTCCTTCACAATCCTTTCACATCACACTTGGCTCTCTCTCACATATGAATGCGTGATCATCACCATCGTCATGGCTTCTTCTGCCTCTTCGCTCCTCAGAGCAACCAGGACCAAACTCTTCTCTCCTTTCTCTTCTTCTCTTTCTAGAACCTTCGCCTACCCTCCCTCTCGTCTTTCTCCTTCCCTTCCACTCTCCCGATCCCTCGGATTCTCCTCCGCCGCCGCCCGCTCCCTCCCCCGCTGGAGCCACCGCGTCGATTGGAGGTCTCCTCTTAGCCTCCGCTCTCAGATCAGAGCCGTCGCTCCCGTCATCGAACGCTTCCACCGCAAGATCGCCACTATGGGTACTTCACACTTCACTCCCACAATCTCGGAGTTCTGTAGCTCTTTCTGTTTTCTGATCTGATTGTTTCAGCTTTCAATGCTTCATTTCTGCTTCGATTTTACTTTTTCTGGTCAAATTTGAATTCCGAATTCGGAATTCCGTTGTTTTTTATTTATCTTGAATCTTCCATTTGATGATCGATAAGGCTAAGAGAATTATTAGCACGTTGTGTATTCTACTTTTGCTATTCAACACCTTAACGGATCGTGAAGTTTGCTTTATATGTCTTAATCGTCTTGGTTTGTATTTGTGACACGTAGTTTAGTTTATAATTTTCGGTGCTGAATTTTGTGTTCTGATTGATCATCTTACGTGTGTGTCGTTGCAGCTAGTGAAAATCCTTTCAAGGGAAACTTGACGAGTCTCCCCAAGCCTGGTGGGGGCGAGTTTGGGAAGTTCTACAGCCTTCCTTCGCTAAACGACTCGAGAATTGGTAATTTGCTAGCTTAGTTTGGCTTAATTCATTTTTTCATGGTTTAAGTCATGTTTTTGTTGTTTTAATTTACTGGAATTTTGTGAAAAATGTGGTATTGGTGATTTCGTTCCATTATCATCTGTCTGATGAAGGACCGGTCTCTCCTCCTTTAGAATACCACATTCTTCTTGCATCTACTTCAGTTACTGATAGTATCAACTCTGTGGGTGCATGACAGATAGGTTACCATACTCTATCAGAATTCTCCTTGAATCTGCTGTTCGTAATTGTGATAATTTCCAAGTTACTAAAGAGGATGTTGAAAAGATTATTGACTGGGAAAGCACTTCTGTAAAGCAAGTTGAGATTCCTTTCAAGCCTGCTCGTGTTCTCCTGCAGGTACCTCATTCCATTCTGGATGCAGCTAAAGAGTTATTATCATGGATGGGTCATATTAAGTAATATGCGTTCTTCTTTCAACCTGATTTTTTCCTCCTTTCTCCAGGATTTTACTGGAGTCCCAGCTGTTGTTGACCTTGCTTGCATGCGTGATGCTATGAATAAGCTTGGCAGTGATTCTAATAAGATCAATCCTCTGGTATACATCATTCTTATCACTGTCCTGTGCTTTTGTTGTCTATGAAGTTATTGATGGTAGTAACCAAAGAGATTTAAATATTTAATTGTGTCATGGAGTTTCATATATACTTTGAACTCATAATTACTTCTATAATAATTATTATTATTTTTATGCACGGTCAGAAAAAAAAGTTTTGAGTTTGATGTATTACTAACTGTCCAACAATAGTGTTCTTTGCTGCTAAAAAAGTTCTGTAATTGATGTGAGACTAGCAGGGTCATAAACAGTATCTGAAAACTATTTGCCTAAATATTTAGCTGTGCTAATTTATTACTAAATTTACTTTTGGGTGAGTTTGCAAAATTAAAAAAATGGGTCACTAGTGTTCAATTTAAAACTTCTTTCTTCAATATTTCCTAATTAAAATTGTTATCTATATCAGATTATACTCAGTATGTTTAAAATTTTATTTTTAACTTGTTCAAGGTCAAATATTGTTTGCTGAATCGTTTTTGAAACTTTAATAAGAAATAGAGACAATGGGAGACTAATACGGAAACACTTATGTTTAAATTGTGTAAGGAAACCACCCATTCTTAGGGTCTATTGTAGGTAGGGGTGGCAATACGTGTCAACCCGACACGACCCGACACGACCCGCGATCGACACGAAGAAAACTTGACATGACACGGACACGACACGTTTTGTAAACGGGTTAAAAAACATGAACCCGGACACGACCCGCTGCGGGTCACGGGTCGACACGACACAACCCGCAAAATTCGAAATTTAAAAAAAAAAAAAGATTTTTTGAAATTAAATACAATAAAAAATTCAAGAAAAAAACAGCTTCTGATTTATGAGATTTTTTGTTCCTTGTATGTAAATGACACAAATATTCTCAATAACTATATTCTCTTATTATCTATTCATTGTGACACAAATATGCACCTAAAGTAAATAATAATAATAATAATAATAATAATAACAATAACAATAATAATAAACTAAAATCAAATAAGAAAAAACATGATGAGTTCAATTTCATGAATTGTCATCTACCTAAAAAAACATCAACATAAAACAAGTTCATGACTAGTGCAAAGTACAAACTCATCAAAATAAAATTATACAATAAATATTCTAAATTAAACACAAATTCCATTAAACACTAGTTTATGAATCAAGTTCATTTTAGGGTTCCTCCACCATCAAGTCCTTCATCAAGTCCTCAGTTAAATCTTCCACACGTACAATTTCACCATCTATTATAAAACAAGTAATAAAAATAATTAGAGCAAAAAATTATATAGCCAAAGATATCATCACAACCATAAATAAGATAAAAATATTACCAATTGCTCCATAGAGCCAATCTCTAGTGCAAATTAAAGCCTCCACTGCATCATGTGAGAGAGAACTTCTATATTGGTCTAGAACTCTTCCCCCAACACTAAAAGCACTTTCAGAAGCAACACTAGAGATGGGTATGGCAAAGATATCTCTGGCCATTGAAGCCACTTGTGGATACCTGTATTGATTACCCTTCCAATATGCTAATACATCTAATTTGAGCTTTGCATCAACCCTTGGCTCCTCTAGGTATAGCTCAAGTTGTGACTTTAGGGGCCCAGTAACAACATTAGAAGACATGAATTCCTAATAAAATTAAACAAAAAAACAAACACAAATTAAGCTAAGTTAAAGTAAAAAGAAAAAAGAAATAAAGCAACAAATAAAATAGAAGGTGATATAATAATACGTCAACTTACACTTAAGACATCATCATCATCAACCTCTGAGAATGAAGCTAAGCTAGGATCAGTGGTTGCACTTGCACCTCCTGTGTGTTGTGTTGAGGAAGATATTGAAGACGGGTCAGGTCCATGCTTTGCATACTCATTAAACAACTTGAACAACTGGCTATTCACCTTTCCACTTTCTTGGATTGCAGAAGTTTCATCAAACAACTTTCCATAACAGAATTCAATAAAATTCATCTTATACCTAGGGTCCAAAACGCATGCTATGGCCAAGACCGTACTATATTGGGACCAATACTTGTTGAATTTATTGAACATCTTTGTAGCCATCTCCCTAATATAATCATCAGCACTATGCAAAGCATTGTGTAATGTCATGTGTGCTTTAAATACCAAGGGAAAATACATATTAGCCGTTGCATACTTAGTGCCAGAGAATATACAAGTAATTTCATAAAAAACCTGAAGAAACCTGTTAATCTTTTCAATCCTTTCCCATTCTTCTATAGATGGACAATGCTTATAGTTAGAATCAGTCAATCTAAGATGAACAAAAGCACGTCTATAATACAAAGCACTGTTAAGCATGATAAATGTTGAATTCCACCTAGTAGGAACATCTTGCCTCAAACCCTTCTTAGAAAAAATCGAACTTTGAGTGACACAGTCAAATTTTTTTTCTTTCCTACCTTGTGAACCCCTCACATATTTAATACTTTCCCTCACTTTTATAATTGAAGTGTCAACCTCTTTCAAACCATCCTGAACAATCAAATTTAGAACATGAGCACAACAACGCAAATGGAAAAATTTTCCAGCACACAAAAGTCCATCATTAAGCATTAATTGACCACTCAAGAACTCAACACATGAATCATTTGCAGATGCATTGTCCAATGTCATTGCAAATATCTTCTTTTCTAAGCCCCATTCTATCAAAAAAGTGTGTATTTTTTCGGCCAAGGAAATTCCATTATGAGGAGGAGGCATATGACTAAAATTCAAAACTCTTTTGTGGATCCCCCAACTACGATCCACAAAATGTGCTGTCAAACAAATAAAACCATCCGTGTTTATAGAAGTCCACAAGTCAGTAGTTAAACTTACCCTACTTGAGTTTCCCCTCAACAAAGCATGCAATCTTTCTTTCTCTTTATGATACATTTTCAGACAGTCAGCCCTCACAGTGTTCTTAGTGATTAGATTTAAATCTCCTCGCAAGAACAGAAGTAAATTCTTGATTCCTGGCAATTCAGCAAACTGAAATGGAAAGTCATGCATAATAATTGCTTGAACCAACAACTCTCTAAATCTATCATAATCAAATCTAGGACAAACAGATACAGTGTTACTAGAAGTAGAAAGCATGCACTGTCCAACATCTCTGCTATCCCTTTTAACACACTTATCTATATGCCTTCTCATGTTACCAGTTCCATGGCTAGAGTCTGATATATATGTCGCTCCACAATGTTTGCACTTGCAGTGGTCTTTCTCACCATCTGTGGACAACCATTAGTGTACTCATTTATCCATATAAAATCATTTAAAGACTTTTTTGTATAACTTGACTAATGGACTTTTTTGTATAACTTGACTAATGGACAACCATTAGTGTACTCATTTCACTCTGAATATAGAATAACTTGACTAAGCAAAAAAGGCAGCTACCGATTTAGACAGAGAGAGGAACCTACCCGGATTAAGCAGAAACCAAACTGATGATTGAGAGCTAGCAGATATCTATGTCTAAAATTAGGTTCTGCAAAAAAAAAAAAAGGTTCAAAACAATGAACATAGAAAACTATGAATACATAAAGGGTATATTGATTCTAGGAGATAAATTTAAACATTTAAATAGTCTTCTGGTTAATATAATGATAATTTTGTGAAGAAACAAGTAGAAGATTCTTTGATATCTATGATTTGTTTTGAATAAATAAATAAACGGTCCATTGTTCTTTGATACGGTTAAGTGTTTGACTGTAATGAAAAAATTTGTATACCATGTCAAATTGCAGAAAGTTTGTAGGTTTCTGAGTATGTGAAGGCATAATAAGGAAAAATTGCATTATTGTTGTAAGCTACACTTATTAGAGAAGGGAAAAATAAGTGCTTGCGTATAAAAAGTAAGATCTACAGATAGGAGACACATTTCGTAGGCCTATTGGTGATGGGGATAAAGTTTTGATAATGCTTATCAATGACAGGTTTTATAGTTGATGCTTTTGGACAAGTTTTTCGCAATATTCAAAGTTTACCTGGCAAATATGTATTTAAGGAAAACACTCTCATTGCTAAGTTTAAGGCTAGAAGCAAATACACAATTTAGTCAAGGCACTCAATGCTAAAGCCTAGAGATAATCATAAAAAAAAAAAAAGTTAGCATGTATTAAGGTAATTTGATTTCTTTACGCATACAAATACACAATGATACGATGACACAAAAAATTCATATAAACTAATATAAGCTCTCTATAAGCATGCTTTTCAACAGAAACCATCATACACAGGTAGCATAAACACAACAGATGCTATCGTAGAAATTAACCAGTGGAGTGAGTATCTAATTAAATGAAAATTTAAATATAAATATTCATAAATAAAATAGAAAAACTAGCGTAGGGTTGGATTAGGTACAAACCTCAGCTTCCGGGGCAGTGAAAGGGTCTTCCCTGCCATCTCCAATTACCTATTCAACCAAACTAACAGATCACCCACAAATCAAAAACAAATCTTCCAAGTTGGAATATTAATCAATAAAATGTTACAGAACAAGAGAAAAGGAAAACTAATTTGAGTTCAAAGAAAATAATAAGTTACAGAAAAAGAGAAAAGGAGCACTCAGAGATGAAAGAAGAAGGACTTACGAGTAGAAGATTCTGATCCAGAACATTAGAGAACTTGAGAGAGGGAGAGATAGGAGGACTGGAGCTGAACGGCGACGCTGTGAGGGGGAGAGAGAGAGGAACGGAGAGAAGAACAGAGAGAGGAACGGAGACTCAGAGAGAGGAACGACGATGCTGTGAAGGGGAGAGAAAGAGAGGAACGGCGGCGAAGGTGTGAGGGGGAGAGAAAGAGAAGAACCGCTGCGGCTGATAATTTCTGATTTAGGAATGGGATGATGAGTCGATGGATGAGACCTAACCCTAAAACCTAGGTAAATGTACTAAATCACCCTTATGCGGGTTGACCCGTGAACCCGCGGGTCAACACGTGACCCGACACGAAACCAAACGTGTCATTTTTTAAGACCCGGACACGGCCCGTCCTAACCCGCGGGTTGACACGACCCGTGATTTTGCGGGTCGGGTCACGGGTCAACCCACGGGTCAATACCTGTATTGCCACCCCTAATTGTAGGAAGGGGTGTAGAGGAATAAAATTCTGGGCAGGGCAAGAAAGTGTGACTGCCTTTTGGTGGGAAAAGTTGTTAGTTACAACAGCTTGGCTTCTAGAGAGGGAAAGAGAGGGGGGTTTTGGGGTGGGGGTGGGGGTGGGGGGTTGAGAGAGGTATCAGAAGATTAGATAGAGAAAACTTGGGAGATACCGGAGCCTCTCGAATGCTCTAGACTATCTTTTCATTTTCCTCTGTGTAACTACAAAAACTAATCTCACATCCATTTGATATCACGATTACAGTTCTATATACACTTTTTATTCCGTTTGTGTTTTGGTTCTTGTTTGGTTCCTATCAGATTGCTAATGACTGTAGGATTTCTCTCTTTCTTTTCGATGAAATTGTGTAGGATTTCTTTTGAACTAATTTTCACTTAAATATGGATCGTATTGAAACTAGTTATTCTAAGTTTGAGTTAATACAAAACATAATTTTTAAACTAATTCTACTGTACCCAGTTATTGTGTTTTGGAGGAGTTTAACAAACAAGCCCCATTAGCCATATTTTCCTTATACGTTATGTACTTATGTTTGCTTAGTACAAGTGTCTCTGAGCAATAGTTGTTGTCAGGTTCCTGTTGATCTTGTGGTTGATCATTCAGTTCAAGTTGATGTAGCAAGGTCAGAGAATGCAGTGCAGGCCAATATGGAGCTTGAGTTCCAGAGAAACAAGGAGAGATTTGCTTTTCTTAAATGGGGGTCAACTGCTTTCCGTAATATGCTTGTTGTTCCTCCTGGTTCTGGTATAGTACATCAGGTAAGTTCAGAAGCACACATTCAAATTGATGTCATGGAATATTTTTTTTTTCATCATTATAAATTTTGGTTGTTGAGTCCGGGGACTTATGATGTCTTGAATGTCAGGTCAATCTTGAATATCTTGGACGGGTTGTTTTCAACAATGAGGGCTTACTCTATCCTGACAGTGTGGTTGGGACTGATTCACATACAACTATGATTGATGGGCTTGGAGTAGCTGGATGGGGTGTTGGGGGTATTGAAGCAGAGGCAGCAATGCTTGGCCAGGTTCATTTACTTCTGAATTCTGATTTATAATGAATGAATGTTGATTATATCCAAAAAATGTAATGAATGTTGATGGTCTATGTAAAGAACCAATTTAACCAAAAAGTTTAAGCTGTTGGGTGAGGTTACATTAATTATTTTATATTTATCTAATAGTCTATTCTTTAGAATTACATGTTTGTATGCTTTATCTCAAATTAAGCACTTGGAATAGTTTAGCTACAGTAGTGATCCTAATGCTATGTGCTATGATAATGACAGCCTATGAGCATGGTGTTACCTGGTGTTGTCGGGTTTAAGTTATCTGGAAAACTTCGCAATGGTGTTACAGCAACTGACTTGGTTCTAACCGTGACACAAATGCTTCGGAAACATGGTGTTGTTGGCAAATTTGTTGAATTTTATGGTAATTAAGTTCTCTTTCATTTCCTCCTTTTTTCAGCTTGTGCTGATGTCTCACAGCTAATTTCCTGTTTTCATGGTTTTTGTTCTATAGGTGATGGTATGGGTAAATTATCATTAGCTGACAGGGCCACTATTGCCAATATGTCTCCTGAATATGGAGCAACCATGGGTTTCTTCCCTGTGGATCATGTTACATTACAATACCTCAAGTTAACTGGACGAAGTGACGAGACTGTGAGTATCACTCATTTATTATTTTACAATGACGTGAAATGCTTTTAAGATTACTTGACCTTCAATTTTGGCTGAATATAGGTGGCGATGATCGAGGCCTATCTCAGAGCAAACAAATTGTTTGTTGACTACAATGAGGTATAATACTGATTCGATATCCTAAACACCCTTCTTTTGAACAACACAATTGTGCGTATATGTTGGGGTTATAGAATGCTAATTTATTATGCATAATTTCAGCCTCAACAAGACAGAGTTTATTCATCCTATCTTGAATTGAACCTTGATGATGTTGAGCCCTGTATCTCGGGACCAAAGAGGTAAGATACTGTGATATTTTACATGTTATCTTGTATATTAATGTGAATTTCAAAATTTCTATTTTATTATCTATGTTATAATTCATACTAAGTGATACTCTTTTCAGACCTCATGATCGGGTGCCTTTGAAAGAAATGAAGGCTGATTGGCATGCATGTCTTGATAACAAAGTGGGGTTTAAGGTTAGTAATTCTGTGATATTCAAATTTTTTCTCATATTTCTGTCTTAAGAAAGGATTTCATAGTTTATTATCATATCTTGCATTAGCTCTCGACCATTTGCTTTAACCAAAAATGCTATTGCCTGCCCATTTGGTTGTTTTTGTGATAAAATGGTAACTGGGTTAAGTTTAGTATCACTTTTAGTTTGTGTTTCTACAGTGACTTTAAAAAAAAATACATAACTGAGATGATAATTTCAATGTAAAGTTGAAATTGTTGCATCTAACACAGATTGGTTTACTGTTTAACTAATTAAATGACTTCGTTTCTTCAAACTTGAACCATCAAATCGCAACATTATGTTGAGGGAAAAGAAATTATCCTTTTGTTTTTTCAACTGGGATCTAAAATTGGTTTGATATTACCTGAAGTCAGTTCTATTTCCTAAAAATAATTCCATCTCTTTCATCTTTCTCACTTTCTATGATCACTGTACCTGGATTCCAAAAAGCATCATTATAAGTAGAGAATGCAAGAAACTAATGCTTTTTCAAATATTAGTCATTCTGATTGTTTCAAGTTGTAGACCTTCAACTTTCAGACACAGTTCCAGTCACAAAACCTGCAGTGATATAGTCATCTGTATTTCATTTACTTTCTGCTTGATGAAACCACTCACAAATATAAGATGGTATACTTCCTAAAGGTTTTCTTTGAATTCAGGGATTTGCTATACCAAAAGAAGCTCAAGGCAAAGTTGCAAAATTTGATTTTCATGGGCAGCCAGCAGAGCTCAAGCATGGTAGTGTTGTGATTGCTGCAATCACAAGCTGTACAAATACATCAAACCCAAGTGTTATGCTTGGAGCTGGTCTTGTTGCAAAAAAGGCTCATCAGCTAGGTTTGCAGGTTAGGCACCAATATAATTATGTCAGAAGCTGTCATTTTACTAGTTTCAACATGATATCGTTACTTTGATATGGTCCACTTTTTGTGCCACTAACAAAGGTGACTTGTTATATTTTGTTTTATGCCGTCCTTTTAATGATAGTAATTGTAGATGTTTTCACTGTTTGCCAGGTCAAGCCTTGGGTAAAAACAAGTCTTGCTCCCGGCTCTGGAGTTGTTACAAAATATCTACTTCAGAGGTATTTCACACTTCTTATTAGAATATTAATTCTCTAATTTGTATTATAATGTCCTCTTTACCTCTTCGGTCTGCACAATTTTGGAAAAATGTAAACTAAATTTGGATTTGTTTTTATTCTTTTGGGTAGTGGCCTGCAAAAGTATCTAAATGAACAGGGCTTCCATATTGTTGGATTTGGCTGTACCACATGCATTGGCAATTCCGGGGATCTGGACGAATCAGTTGCTTCTGCTATCTCAGAAAATGGTAATTGAAATATCATATCAAATGTAATTTGTATAACTGAAGCTGATTTTTGTGCAATTCTCACAATTTTGTCTTCTTTATATCTTTTAGATAACCTCCTAATCTTATTCTGCTTTATATTTGTCATACTGATTTAATTCTTATATGGTCTCATGCAGACATTGTAGCGTCTGCTGTGTTGTCTGGGAATCGTAATTTTGAGGGCCGTGTGCATCCCTTGACAAGAGCTAACTACCTTGCCTCGCCTCCGCTAGTTGTTGCTTATGCTCTTGCTGGCACGGTATGGTTAATTCATATTTCTAATCTGTATATGAAGGGTTTTTGGTTCTTGCTTCTACCAGTTGTTTGGTTTTTATGTCCCAGTAAAGACTGATACTTTTTGGACTCATCCTTAGATTTTTATTAATAATGTCAAGGACTTGGTTGAAAGAAACAAAACTGACAAATGTTAAAATTATTGGAGGCTAATAACCAGCATTGATGTTGTTTGCTAGTTCTTAATGTCCACCGTCTGTATTTGCATGTGTATTCCCCCTTATGCTATATGTAATGTATTTTGACTTAAGCTGAGTCCAAATGCATTGTACATTTCCTTTTTATTTATTTTTTCTCAATTCTCTCTTATCAAACATTGCCTTATTCCCAATTGATTGGATACTTAAATCCAGAAGTCTGGATTTTGTCTTACACGTGATGATAATTGGCTATAAACGTAGGCAGTTTTCATATTTTTATGATATTGGGCAAACCGAAGCAGTGGTAAAGCTGTTCTTTCATGATTGAAAGGTCATGGGTTCAAATTCAAGAAACAGCCTCTTTGCAATTATGCAAGGGTAAGACTGCGTACAAGAATTGCATCCACCCTACACTTGCTAGTCGGGTTAAACGGAAAGTGGTTTTTTAAGAGGCACAATTTAATTCCCCAATTAGTTTGGGATAAAGGTGTTGTTAATGTTGTTGATGTTGATTGAAATTTGAATGTCATGTCGCACACTGATGTTTTGTGAGTGTTCTACTGACTATAAGCTTTCTTTAGCACTTTATTTTAGTTGGTTGGAGGCATTTTTTATTTATATTCTATTGAAAGTAGACGAAATTTAGGGTTTAGAATACATAAAGATAACTTTTCCCCCCTCCTAATGTTGTTAACCAGCATCACTTACCTTTTGGTCAATTTTCCAGGTTGACATTGACTTTGAAAAGGAGCCAATAGGGACAGGGAAGGATGGCAAGAATATCTACTTGAGGGAGATTTGGCCATCCACTGAAGAAATTGCAGAGGTAAATGATGTCTACTTTTCTCATTTTGTGAAATTTTCTCTAGAGATTTGACAATGTGTTCACCAAAATTAATTTTGGTTTACTTGATTCCTAGGCTGTCCAATCCAGTGTATTGCCTGACATGTTCCGAAGTACATATGAAGCTATTACCAAGGGTAACCCTATGTGGAACCAACTACAAGTTCCTGCTGACACCCTGTACTCGTGGGACCCTAACTCAACATATATTCATGAACCTCCATACTTCAAGGACATGACCATGGATCCTCCTGGAGCTCATGGCGTTAAAGATGCCTATTGCCTGCTGAATTTTGGTGACAGTATAACTACTGATCACATTTCTCCTGCTGGAAATATTAACAAGGACAGTCCTGCTGCAAAATACCTTCTGGAGCGTGGGGTGGAACGCAAGGACTTCAATTCTTATGGAAGTCGTCGTGGCAATGATGAGGTGATGGCAAGGGGAACTTTTGCCAACATTCGTCTTGTTAACAAGCTTTTGAATGGAGAAGTTGGCCCCAAGACGGTTCACATTCCTACAGGGGAGAAGCTTTACGTGTTCGATGCAGCACATGTGAGTTATTTGCTAACCAAATATGGCGTGCATTTTATTACTGCTTTTGAACTTCTCAACTGGCAGGCACTGTTTATTCCATATGATATTTTCTGATGTGATCTTTCCTGATTTGCTTCAAAATTTTAAGCTGACAATGCCTCATTGAAGAAAAAAATCTTTGCTAAACTTTCTTTATAATGCTTGTTAGGTTGTTAATTCTTTTGCTTCTGTGTATGTATCAACTATTAGTTTTGCTTTTTCAAAAAGTCAATCCCAAAATTTCCAATTTATTGCAATCATTGCAAGAGATGGAGGGTATAATCATGAATCTAAATCGACTGGGTACATTAGTGCGAAAAGTATAATCGACTGGGTACATTTCCTTTCCCTCCACTCCCGCTCCACAAATAATAAAAGAACTAGTTGATACCTTCGTGCCAGGGGATGGGGATGTGATAAACAGTCATTAGTTTTAGCTCTCTTAAGTTTCTGATCCCCTGGAATTGCTCTCTTATGCCAGAGATACAAGGCTTCTGGGCAGGACACCATTGTGCTAGCTGGAGCTGAATATGGCAGTGGAAGTTCAAGAGATTGGGCAGCCAAGGGTCCCATGCTATTGGTGAGTCCCTCTATATGTTATAGCCTATGATTTGGATATCTTAACATGTTGGGACTAATATTCCTGACGTACTTGATGATGTTTACATTTTTTTGACAGGGAGTGAAAGCTGTGATAGCTAAAAGTTTCGAGAGAATTCATCGCAGTAATTTGGTAGGAATGGGTATCATTCCTCTTTGCTTCAAAGCTGGTGAGGATGCTGACACATTGGGATTGACTGGTCATGAACGTTATACCATTGACCTCCCAAGTAAAATCAGCGAGATAAGGCCTGGCCAAGATGTCACTGTCAAAACTGATACTGGAAAATCTTTCACCTGCACAGTTCGCTTTGACACTGAGGTAATTTTTAAGCTTTTCCTTGATTCATATATATATATATATATATTTGAAGGATGCAATTATAAATCCAAATGTGGTCTTTTATTGGGGTTAGCTAGGGGTTGAGCCATTTATTCAACGATTAGAAAACTTGCCTTATATCTTCCCTGTGGGTTAATCCCTAACACCCTTGTATTTTCAGGTGGAACTTGCTTACTTTAACCATGGAGGCATACTTCCATATGTCATCAGGAACCTCATTAAGCAGTGAAGTCAATGTTGATAGGAAATATTAAATGCCGTGGCCACTGCGCTTGCGCCTTTCAAGTGGGAATAAAATGTGAGAGCAATGAGAATAAATTTCCAGTTAATAGGAAAGGATCCCTTCTCAAGGGAGGCAATTTTTTTTGACACTAACAGGTGTTTATATTAGGCCTGTAAACATCGGGTACATTGATTATTGGTTTCTGATTTCTGTGCGATCTGTGTGCCCATTGAACAATGGGAACAATAGTATTTTTGTACAAGTTAATGTTGATCCCTGCCTATGGCCGGGGGCATCGGCTAAAACTGCTGTGTAAGGTAGTGAATATTCTTTTGACCAATATCGCCGACGCTTCCTGAAAAAGTCACACGAGGACAACATTGTACTTATAATCATCATGTTCTTATACGCAATATTTCTAAACTACGTGGAATGATAGACTAAACTATAGTGAAATAGTTTATACTAATTTTTTCAGGTTGAAATTTAATGCTAAATTCTACTGTTTCTGACCAAATAAACCTTGAGCAATTGTCCATGTTGTTACCAATGCAGTAACATCTTGACCAAATACGCGCACTACCAAAATTTTATTGAATCATTATTTTTTTTTTTGTCATGTACCAAATGGTGGCTTGATTAATGTAGTTTTGGTTTTGAACTTATTATTGGGCAATTTTGAAGTCGATCTCACTAGACCAACGACTTGGTTATTGAAAAATTATTTTCACCATTTAATATTCAAACTTACTAGTACTCGGTCTCACTACCAAAATATTAAAAAAAAAAAAAAACTTAGCTACCAAAGAGGCAGGATCTCCACTATACATTACATGTAAACGAAGATAACTTCACCAAGAAAAATTTCATTCGATGAGCTGCAGAAAGAGTGAACGTATGTTTGCGGAGCGTAAAATCTAAAACAAACACATGCTAAATTTTCATCAAACCAACAAGTTTATAAAATTAAGAACAAACATATTGTGGACACCGCTTGCCTCGTTAATGCTACTAACATAGACATAAGGACACACTTTTCTTTCCAATATCATCATCGTCCGTAGAGAATATAGCAAACAGTTCTTCGAAATCGCGAGAAAGTTACATTCATGATTTACTTCGCAGTTTTGGAGCATTATTGAAGAGATTGTCATCATTGGGCAAGATCATTAAACATGTTTTTGTTGTCTGATTTGCAGCGAAAATAAATATTTAATCGTGAGCCGTAAATGACATAATCGATCTAATTAATATATCTTAATACCTCATCCAAAGAAAAGGAGTCTTTCATTGAGAACATAGAAACATTCCATACGACCATACCCACAAAAAACCACAAGCTCCAGACTTAATTCATATGGAATTCAATACATACATCCTACATCAAAATAAAAAAGAAAAAATATTGTCATTATTTACAGATAGGATCCATTATAACAACAAACTAGCTACTTCATTGAGCAATCCTCTGGAATGCTTTCTAAAGCTGGCCTCCAAGAATTTATGCTCCCATCATTTTCTTCAATCTGAGACAATGTTTTCTCTCTCAACTTCATATCGCTTAGTAATTGGCCCAATGAAGTGAGCTGAGCATCATTTACATTCTTATAACTTAACATCCTTTTCAACTCTTCCTTAGTCACCACCAATCTAATCCTTACAGGGTCACTTGTAGAATTACTAGCACTTCCTTCACCACCTCTATCATCTTGAATTTTAAACCTCACCTTCTTCTTCATGCTGTCTTCTCGCCGTGCCGTTTCCAACTTGGAGGATGAAGAAGATGTCTTTATCTTCTCGACTTTCTTACCTTCATTGTCATGATCTTGATCTTGTGCTGATATTTGGTTGTTTCTAAGGCACTTCCACATGTTAGCAATGAAGCATTTAACTCAAGAAAACCAACATAGGGAGGAGAAAGAGTGTATCCAAAGTGAAATATTAATACAGAGAAAGCACATGGAATATCCGGTTGTTACGCCGGGTATTCATTCAAAAATCAAAACAAAGAAGGTGGATTCTTTTGCTTGAGACCGACACCACCATGAATTATGCTTTTAGATACCTTTTTGTTTTATACTGTGTGAATATTTTACTAGTATAGCTGTCTGTTAGCCTGTTAGCTTTAGCACTTATCGTTTTGTTTTGAATTTTTTTTTGAGGAAGAAGTTCAAAAAAAATTCTTATTGGTATTGTTTTGAATCATTTACACTTCCATATTTTTTTTTTAATCACTTAACTTGTGTGGTTTTTTTCTATTTACACCTCTCTTTAACATTATTAGAAAATTAACTAAACATATCTATTCTACTCTTCTTAGAAGAAGAGAATAAAGTGATAATAAAAATAGTAAAAAAATCAAATGTGTGTAAATAAAAAATGTATAAAAAAAGAAATAAAAAGAAATCACAATTATGAATTTCCATTTTATTTTTGCTTTTATTTTTTTTCTATTTTTTTTTGTCATTGGTCTATTTATTATTTTTATTTAGATATGTTTGATTTTTTTATATCACTATTTTATTCTCTTTTCTCTATTTGATTTTTTTTACAAAAATCTTTAATAGATGGGGCGGCAAAAGATAAAAAAAAAAATATACAAAAAAATAGATCAAAAAATGAAAAAAAATAAAAACAGAAAAAAGACCAAATATTTAAATAAAAAAGAACAAAATAGATCTAGGACAAAAAATAAATAAAATAAAACTAAATATATTGGAAGCTTGATTTCTTTTTATTCTATTTTTATTTTTTTTTTATTTTTTATCTTAATTTTTTCTTCTAATTTTTTTGTCTTTAGTACGTTTTTTTTAATTCGGACTATTTTCATTTTTTTTATTTTAATATTTGTTTGTCACTGTTGTGATTTTTAACAGATTTGGTCTTATTTTTTTTCTATTATTTTTTGGATAAATCACATATATCCTTCATGGGAGGGCAATCGTGTTTAGAGTGGATTCAACATTAAAGCTTTAAATCCCCGTAAAGATAGTACTTGGGAGGATCGAACACATATTCTCACCATCATCTGCTCAGTTTTCATACGTCAACTGAGCTACCATCATTTTGTTTCTTCTATTTTTTTGTTATTATCCTATTTTTTATACATTTATTTTCTTTATTTTTTTTATTTTGACACATTTGATTTTTTTTTACTAGTTTTTTCTTTTAGTTTTTATTAAGTGTTCTAAATTTCCGTAACATTTAATTTTTCTTTATCACTTTTTTTTTTTTTTAAGAGTAGAATAAGTATATTTAGTTAATTTTCTAACAGTGTTAAAGAGGAATATGGATGAAGAAAATCACAAGGGATTAAGTGATTAAAAAAAATAGGGGCGGAAGTATTAAAGGTATGATGTTTTTTCTTTTAAAGAACATATAATTGTATCATTTTAGATGAGAGAAAGATATAAACAAAGAAAATCATGAGAGAAAAAAATGAGTGATTTTTTTAATTTAAAAAAAATAATATTATTTTGCACTTTTCTCTCACTTCAAATAACAACTCTATATTCATTAAAAAAACAAACATTTTTTTTAATTTGATAATAGAAGCATTGATTATTTTAAGAATGCTGCATTTGAAGTTTACCTGGCGTTGTCACAATATAATATATAAAGGTTTAAACTCGAAGTTGATGCCCTCTAATCACTGCTCAAAAAGTGGTACATCGCTCGTAGCACATTAGCACCGCACGACAAGGTTAAATATTTAAATCGGATAACTCTGTTTATCCCTTTATTATTGGTCTATCCCATACTTTTAGTTTGCGGGTCAATACTTTGCAACCTATTTGAGATGCTCGACCATGCTTTCAATACCCATTTAAATAAAGTTGTATTTCAATTTAATTAAAAAAACAAAAAAAAAAAACAATTGTCTTTAGACATTATACGGCAGTTAGCAATACTTAAGAGTAACCAATGTAAATACGACTTGCCTCTTCAATGAGCATGCAGTAATTTTAAAGCAATTTTTTTTTTTTTTTTTAAAAATCAATCCGCAGAGCTTAATTTACAATAAAGAGAGCAGCTTATCCTTTAAATTAATTCAGAATCTTACTCCATTTTACTCTAACTTAATAAGAATCTAGAGCCTCAACCTCAAGTTATCGAATGCTTAATTGTTAATCATTCTTGAATGCATTAAAATAACTAGAACTTGCGTAAGATAACCAAGAGTTGTTAAACCACTACACATAATTGTCATGATAAAAACTAACCAGATGAAGGAAATTCATTAATGGCAATATGCAATGTTCTGGACATATTATTTGGACTTGATCTATTTCAATCCTAGATTCCTTCGGGACTTTTGAACACGCGCCACTTATAACCAGAGTTTTCGGTTGTTTTTTTTTACCTTTTGCCCTTAATTAAAATAAAAATTACTGCTTTGCCCTAGTACCAAAATATAACACCAATTTATTTCTGTTTGGCCATTGATTGAGTTATGTACTCAAGTACAGAGGTTGATACTCGAGTATATTGTGCGAAAAGTAAATACTCGGATAAACAAATGATATACTCAAGTATTGTTTGCGATCTGAATTTTTATGAACATTTACTCGAGTACATGAGTGGTGTACTTGAGTAAATGTTCTTAAAAACCCATATCACGAACAATACTCGAGTATTCAACCCAAGTTACTTGCGAGAGCTGGTTTTTTTTTTTTATAAAACTCTCATATCACGCATTTCTGGTCGTTTAATGACCAAGTAATCAATTACACTGACATACGATAATCAATTATATTAATGAACTGAGGCTCATATCTTACATTCATGACCGTTGACTGGATCAATAATATATTACACTAGTATACGATAATCAATTATATTAGTGAACTGAGGCTCATATTACATATTCCTGATCATTGGCTGGACCAAGTAATCGATTACACTAGTATACAGTCTTATGGGTATCATAAGACCTATTTACTTTAAAAAATTTGGGAAATATTATCGTAAAATTTCATAAGACCATAACTTTTGACTCGAGTGTTTGAACCAGGTGTTTTTTTTATTCCACATAACTTTTCAAAAGTACACCATCATGGCAAATACCCATAAAAAATTCCCAAAAAATACTTCTTCATGTCCCGTTTGTCATATTTCATCTTTGCGAATGATACTATTTAAATTTTTGCTTTTCAATACTAACAAATAATCCTTCGAGAATTTTCTAGCACGTAGAACTCAAAAAGTTATGTGAAATAAAAAAATATACTTAATTCGAACCCTTGAGTCAAAAGTTATGATCTTATGAAATTTTATGGTAAAAATTAATCATCATACTCGAGTACAGGACCTTAATACTCGAGTATATGGTGCAATACTTGAGTATCAGGGTCTGTACTCGAGTACAAACTCATGATACCTGATTTACTCGAGTATGTTGGTTATGTACTTAAGTATGAGCGCTAGCCAACGGTCAAATATGAGTAGATTGATGTTTATCTTCAAGGTAGACATTGTTATATTTCCTAATCTTCATTTACTAATACTTATATTTGTCCTGCTCTACATTTTATTGATTCATGCTCGTTGGCTGTTCTCAAGGATGGATCAGTTGGATCACAAGGTATGTTTATAGCCCAAAACTTTTTATTTTATTTATATACATGTGATGTAATTGCTTAGCCATGCCGCTGAAATGAGAATAGATATTTGAACTCTTTCCTAGTTGTCCTTTCCCTTCATAGTATCAAAGGTTTTCTGATAACTTTCCATTTATTATTATTAATTTCACTCAGGAATCATTTTATTTTGGGGTCAAATGTGTAAAATAAATCCTAAAGTAACTACAATCAGATACCACAATGAATAAATTGTTGCAATTTCAATTTGGCAGTTTAGCAGAATCAAATATTTCATTCTTGATGGTAGTTGAATAGAAATTAGGCTCCATGTGTAGTTATGAGATAAATTTATGGAGAATAACATAAACTTGTTACTTTAGCCGAGGTACTATAAGAGTGTAATATCACAGTATACATCTAAAGATTGCATTTGATTTCCTTTGGTCTTTGCAGCCTCCAAACGTGACTGATCATTTCCTCTAGAGTCCAGATTCTTAGAATGTCTTTTGCCAAGCCAGTCCTCAGATGCAGCATTTGATAGAATTTCAGGATTGGATTTATTGCGACCTTCAATTATTAATGACAACATTGTGGCTCCATGGCTTTCAACATCATACTCGCTTGCATTCCCATTAAATAGACATGTGTGTTGACTTTAGCGTGTAAAAAATCTTCATTTTATTAATAAAATGGAATCAGAGAAGCAATACGAATTAATTAAATTCAAAAACTTAAACTTTTACATAAATGACACATTAATAATTTTATATTTCTCTAATATCATGTTGAAATAAGTATATCTCGGTCGTTGTATTAATAATTCATTCGTTCTTTGAATTCATGAAATTGCAACTATGAAACTTCCCACGATGATGTCTATAGAAAATGGTAAGAGTGATTAAAGGGTTTTTGATCATATAAAAGCAAAATTTTAAACAAAACATCAAGATAATTCAACACAAAAACGATTTGTCCAATGGTGGAGCCATTTATATGCCAATTGGTATCTTGGTACTAGCTAATTTTTAAAAATAATACAGATTTTTTTCAAAAATTACGATACAACCTGAATAGTGGTTGAATTTTCAAAAATAATACAACTTTACACTGATTGAATTCTACTTGGTAGATTTTTTGGCACTAACTGAGTTTTTCTTCTGATTTTACCACTGAATTTTCCAAACTAATGCATTTAAACGCGTATGTAGGGGACACTCATATGGTAGAGACGTGTTTAAACATTTGACAAATCCATGCTTGCCAAGTGGCACAAACGAAATTCGCCGCAT